CTGGCTGGACGCTGTTCTCCAAGCTGCTGGGGCTCTACTCCTGGCCCTGTGCATGCTGTGCCTGCCTGCCTGTGTGCGTGCATGTGGCTTTTATCAGCGGCATTATTGGCCACATCAGCCAAAAAAAGCCGGTTGCCAATAATGTCAATTTTCCTTTTATTGGTGCCAATATGATATGGAGCAATGTATCAGTGCACCTCTTATAAAAATAACAATGAGGAAAGAAATGGGGCCGTTGTGCAATCAGGATAGGATAGATATTAAGGTTAATCTAGGTCTGGCCAGACGTGCAACCAAGTACTTTGCTTAAGGTTTCAGTAAGGATGGTACTACTGACTATGGGACAAAAGCAAAATGGATAATGGAAGCAAGATTATGGATATAGAATTTACCATAATAAAGGTGAGAGCCAAACTTGAAGGTGCTTTATACACTCCATGTTGAGCATCTGATTGTTGCTAGACTGTCCTACAGAAAAAATGTGATTTGTGTAGGCTGATATGAAGTTACTGGTTCTAACTCTTTCTTCTGCCCTTTGTTCATCTTCCTCCCCATTCTGCTTTTCTTTCTATTTTGTGTTCCAGCAACTTTACCTGTCCACGTGGATGCAGCAGATTCAGCCCTGCCGGCAACACAGTCCCAGAGGTCCCAGAGTTCTGACTGGACGGGTAGGACCCAGGCAGCTGAGAGAACCACTGCCGTGGCCTCTGCTAACTTTTTTAAAACACCGCAAGAGAAGAGCCCTGGATACAGTTAAATGGAGGCATCTCTCCTCATAAGAGCCTGTTGGAACTCTAAAATGTTGGACTTTGACATATGTCAACATCCAAACATCTTGTTTGGCAATAACCGTGTCTTCAGTGTTGGTGCGTGATACGCATTGTCGTTCAGACTGAGCTGCGTGCCCCACATCCCCAAAACACGTTTGTGAATCAGTGTAAAAAGTAACTGTTGATGTTGGGACTGTGGCAGCTTTTTAAAATGTTCCTGCTATTGCTGTGAGTATTTATTACGTGCTCATCTCCCATCCAGCATCTATTAGCATCTGCTGGGGCATGTACAGAACCTTTTGGTTTTACAGATGTTGAACTTTCTTGTGCAGCTGGTTACTCCTGCGGGGCATATTATTTGTTGCTGTATTTAGCATTTTTCAAGAGAATCCACTTCAGGTCTGGGGAGGTAAAACTGTTTCCAGCAAGGACAGGAACAAAGGCCAGCAAGGATCCATGGTCAGGGGGGAAGAGGAGGGAGACAGAGAATGCAAACCAGGTTTCAAATGTGCAGCTTGAATTCTGGATTAATAAAATGTCCAGAAGCCTCTTGCTAATGGACTTGAGTCAGGATGGCTCTAATGAAGCAGATGTATGGGTATCTATTCAGAAGTCCCCTTGGCTTACAAGCAGCATGGCTTTTCAGAGCTGTTCCTCTCCCATGTGTGGAGTGTCTTTAGTCTTGCCTCAGTATTGTATATTCTTCCCCATATCTCCTGCTGGACAAGAGATTGGCAGAACTCATTAGACATAAATGAGCAGGCTAGTGTTATGAGTGGGATCAAGTGGCTCTAAAATGTCCTGTAAGAAATGCTTCTGTGGGAAGTGACAGAGGAAATGCTAATCTACCTTTTGGTGGATGCTCATTTTCAAAAGCTGCTGCAAGCATCCCCCAGGACACTTGAAGTCAAAGTCCAGGTGCCACTGTACTGAAAGCCATTTAAAGTATTGGTTGAGTTCAAAACACTCTCTCTGTACAGACTGGACCATTTCTTGTCTCATTCTTCCTACTTTTTTCAGAAAGTACTGTTTTGCAGTGCATATTGGAAGGGTCTATCTGTCTGTACTGGATTGTAGTCCACTCTGCAATATATATAGGAGGAGGGTTCCCTCTATCTCTGATAGTATTTCACTTTGCAGTATTTATAGGAGGGATCCTCTT